GGTATCAATGATCTGAGCCTTGATGTAGGAATTTTGTGGCTTAGTAGTCCACAGAGAACAGCCTCACTGATGAAACAGCTCATTGGTCCCCTTTTCTGTGCAGAAAGAGTCAAAGAGGAGATTGCACAGGTGATTGGCTCACATAGGCCACCTGCCCTCGATGATCACTCCAAAATGCCATACACAGAGGCAGTCATCTACGAGATTCAGAGATTTGGAGACATCCTCCCCATTGGTGTGCCCCACATAGTCACTAAAGACACTGTCTTCCGAGGGTACCTCATCCCCAAGGTGAGCCCAGCTGGGTTTGGGTCTGCTCTCTGTGGGCGTCCTTGATTCACTTAATCCCTAGTTTCAACCTCCTGTGCGTTTCTTGGCAGGGCCCCTTGTTTTCATTTTTGTTTGTTTTATCACTTTACTTATTTTTCGTGGGGCCAGGAATGGCACTGTCTCTTGATCTTTCAACCTTTCCTCAGAACACTGAAGTGTACCCCATCCTGAGCTCTGCTCTCCATGACCCGCATTACTTTGAAGAACCAGACACCTTCAACCCTGACCACTTTCTGGATGCCAACGGGGCACTGAAGAAGAACGAAGCTTTTATCCCCTTCTCGGCAGGTAGGCTGGACCTGGGATCCCTTTGCAGACACCAGGGGCAGGTCCCATCAGACATGATAGGTCTTTGTTTTGTGAGGGCTCAGCATATTCCAGTTGCTTTACCTGTACTGTCCCATTCCATCTTCACTACCGCCCTGCTAGGAGACTTGAGAAATGACATTATGTCCCAAGACTCGCCTTGATAAGCAGGACCTTTGGGCAAATGTTGGAAAATCCCTAGACCTGAGCAAAGTCGTTTTCTTAAAAATCAACAACCAAAAATTATTTATTAGCATGACTCCAAGCCCAGTGCTTAATAAAGGGCTAAGATAATGCAGCTACAAACTCAGAGAGGTTTCATCCCTAGTCTATTGCCTCCATATGACCCAGCTATCCCACTCCTTGGTTTTCATCCAGAAGAACTAA